TTTCAGTTAGCTCCAATTGGAATTCCTCGATTATTGAGGTTTAGACACTTGCTTATAATAGAGACATATCAGGGTTTGTCTTTCCCGTTTATATACACTGGATTAGTCTGCAAATATTTGAAAGGAGACTGGTCTTTTAAAGTAAATTTTAACATGTGTCTCGATTTTGATCTTGATGGAAAATGAATTAATTAAATACAGGAAATGAAACGAAGAGGTTTTATTAACGTGATCCAGCCAGACCGAAGCAAGTTTTCTTGAAAAATAGTGTAAGACTGTTTGAAATCAATCCCGCGATCTGACCTCGGTTGGAATTTGGCCTAGTCCAAATGTTGCGTTTCTGCCGTTCCGACCTCAAATAAATTTGTCCCGGCAGTGGCAATGACAAGAGAACAGTGGTGATTCCAAACGTCGAGTTCAATCAATCAGAAGATCGGAAGACGCTTGCTTTGCTGAAGGCCATATTAATTGCAACAAATATTAGCAATGGCAGTTGATGCAGCAGGCTATGAATTCAGTTCAGCACGGTACGTAAGAGCACGCCGAAGCCAAGTCACGCTACACGGCATGCAAACTTTATTCTTTCCCCCCAGGCGGGTCCACCGCGAGAGCTTTTGCGGTACCTTTTACGGGGATTGAGCCGAAAAATATGACAGGGGATAATGTGTTATGTAAACGGTTCTCAGTTTAACCATCGATCTTCCCTCTTTCTTTGTTATTTGGAATTGACGACACCAACAACGACAAAAAACACTGTTAGAAATATATCAAGTAGTTATTCTATTCAAAAAAAGTTCACCTAGCCTGAAAAACATTTGTGTTTGCTGGCACGCGTTGTTACCGCCTAGATTTTTTGTTCCAAATACTGATTGAAAAAGACCAAAAGTTAATCAGGGTATTTATTTCGACCCGATATTGGGCAAACTCAAACGCCTTTTAAGCCCGTAAAATTACCCAATTTCTACCGTTTCCATAGGGGCTTGAATTCTTCGACAGTTGACGAAACCCCTCAAAATTTAATTAGTATAAAGCTTTCAATATGCTTAGTTTATCCGGTGTTCTTGTTTCAATGCGAATACTGAGAACTTCGATCCAAGCGTGGCAGTAGCATGACGTTTGAAACCATGCATGCACTCAGTTTGGCAGGCTGAATTAAAGTCGGCGCGACTACTTATAGCACGGCAGTAGCGCGACTTGGCTTTGAACGGCGTGCTCTTGCCATGCACGTGCCGATCTGAACCAGGGACGGTGGAGCCGGGGTGGGGGCTTAAGCCCCCCCTCCTCCACTTTTTACCACGATGAAAGTTTATTTTGTTTTAGTATGAGGTACAAATGAAGAAATAAAGAAGAAGGAAAAGAAAACGAAAAAAGTCTGGTTGACTACAGATTTACCAAGAATTTACAAAGCTACAACCTTGTACCAAATCTGTAGGAAGCTTTTGATGTTTACATAGTTTTAACCTTTCCACAGCGTGTACTTCCTTCCCACACACGGGGGGGCTTGTGTAAAAGTGCAGGTCAGTCAGGACTAAGGCTGTGATATATCATGGAGGGCTGAGAAAGATGTATCAAGTGCACAATACTTTCAAAATATATTGCTGTAAATGCACTAAAAGTACCTGTCATTTTATAGTTCATCCACTAGGATGATTTTCTTAAGAACTACACCATGGAGAATGTCAAAAATACCATTTCCAAGCCCCTAGATTGAAAATGTTTTTTTGGGGCAGGATGCCCCTAGACCCCACTACAAACTTGCGTGGGCACCACTCGTTTTCAAGCCCCCCACCTTCCCCCCCTCCTCCTTCACTTGAAAAAAGACTCCGCCGTCCCTGTGAATTCATATCCTGCTGCATCAGCTGCAGTTGCTTTCTAGCATTTAAAAAAGTCTTCAGCAAAGCAAACTTCTTCCGATCTTCTGCGCGAATGAATTAAATGTGACATTTGAATCTTTCATACCTTTTTGTCAAATTCATTTGAGTTCGGCACGACAGAAGCACGACGTTTGGACTAGGCCGAATTCCAACCGTGGAATAGACACCAAAAAGTCTTACTCTATTTTTCAAGAAAGCCTGCTTCCTTGGTCTAGCTGGGTCACGTTAATAAAACCTCTACGTTTCATTTAGTGCATCTAATTAATCCGCTTTCCATCAAGATCAAAATCGACACACAATGGTTAAAAAATACTTTAAAAGACCAGTCTCCTTTCAAATGTTTGCAGACTAATGGAGTGTGCATAGACAGGAAAGACAAACCCCTATATGCTTCTATTATAAGCAAGTGTCTAAACCTCAATAATTGACGAATTTCAATTGGAGCTAACTGAAAATATCTCTTACGTGATGCAGTCATGTAATACATGTAGCGTATGTAACTTTGAACTTATATTTTGGGCTTTTTCTATAGCTTTTTTGTATCCTGTGGGAAATGATGAAACAATGTTGTAATAACGACATGGATCAACTCTCTTTTTGTATATTTCCCACAAAGCATGGCCCACAGATGGAACAAAAACAGACTATAGTGCTCAACAATAGAGTTCTTTGAACATACTACATTATGCAAATTTGAGAAGAGACCGTCGCGAACTTTTGCATTTTACCTGTGTGAACCTCGATTGCCCAGAAATTTTTTCCATGTTATTATAGTAGAAACGACACTCTTTTGCACAGTACTTGTTTTAGCTCCATATCGGACATACCAAGATGCATTTTAAGCCCGTAAAACTACGCAATTTTTGTCGTTTTCATAGGGGCTTTAGAAGGCAATTCTTCAACGGTCGACGGAATCCTTCAAAATGCTTAAAAAATTTAAAACTTCCTATTGTTAGATAGAAGAAAAGTAAAGCTCTTATGCTAAGTTTACCCTGAGTTCTAGTTTTGTAAATTGTTTCAATGTGAATACCGAGAACTTTGTCAATTTTCCAGATATTTTTTGCATATTTAATGAGGCAAAAAGCTATATTTTCGTTTTTTGTGAATTTCTCGAGGAATTTAAATTCAAAGAAAATGGGAATAATATTTTCGAAAGTGGCTCCCTAAAAGCATTCATTAGGCAAAGTTTCAGGATTTTCGATTTTTCTAAAATGGCCAGCCAGTCTCAATATTTCCAGTCAGTGACTCTTAAAGGTTGACCAAATTTAGAATTTTTGGTACTTCCTACAAACGATGAAAATGATTTTGCTCAGCAGGTCTTTTTCAAGATCTTTATTTCTTCAATGATTATACTTAAAGATAACATTTTTCATTCATTTTTTACTTTAAGATAATATTGGGTAGCCTTTCTAAAATCTAGCTGTCTTTCAATGGAGGGTACCTTCCTTAGCACAGTTGTGAACAATTTTAATTATTGAATAAAACCAAAAAATCTCACAAGGCAACTAGTTAGCTCATACTGCTAATCGACTAGACATGCTCATAGTATTAAAACTTAAAAGTGGCATGCCACACTGTGTTTGATGTTATTTGTTTGTTGTTTATGTCATGATTAACAGAGCAATTTTGAGACATCAAAATAAAAAAGTGGCCGTCCACAGGATACCTGGACACCCATCTGGCTAAAGGCCTGATCACTCTCCATTTTACCTGTGCTATCTGTTTTCTTCTTTGCCTTGGGATTATTAGCTGCTTCTCTATCAGCACTTGTTTGAGGAACAGGAGCCAGAAAAGCACTAAGAGTTGAATCATGACTCCGGTGAATATCAGCAAGGTGATGAAGGGCAATGTCTGTTACTAGATCACAACTGACAACAAAAACATCTTTCTGAAAGGAAATCATGTTCACTTGGTAATAATTATATTTAATTTTTAATATTATAAAGATTAAGCACTGGTAACAGATCTTCACATGATTTAAAAAATCGCAAATAGTTTTGTCATAAATGTGGAAAAATGACTTTCCACCCAAAATGAGCTCTGTCAATGAAGTGACATATTACATGTGCTCAATATGATGTAGCCAAATTACAGTGGTGAAAGGTAAGTGTCCAACTGGTACATTCAAATAACCAGAGCCTGTAACCAAGCAAAGGACAACTCAGTCATAAAAAACCCTTCCTTCCGGTTGGGGGAAGGGTGTAGGCTAATCAACTCAATTTACAGGTAGACAACTCTTGCGGATTATGAAAAAAGGGAACAGCCCAGTTCTTCAAACAAGAGATAGACCAAACAGAGACCAACATGTGGTATGAATCAAATTTTGTGACCTTTTACAATAGAAAATTGGCTTTGAAAATACCATTTGTCATTCATTGATTAACTGGCTGTTATCAAGGGGTTATATTGGCAGTTGGGGCGAGTTTCCGTGGCCATTGCCATTGATTGCAGAGGGCTGGTTGTTGTAGCGAGGTTAAAATAAGACTTGAATGTATGGATCATCTGCCGCGACCAAAAAAAATGGCCTTTGTACAGAGGTTGCTGTAGTAGAGAGGTGGCCCCATTAGCTAATAATGGAGGTTCGACTGTATTGCAGAGGTCAAATAGTATAATAATTGTACATACCTTGATACATGTAATTAACAGTGTTTGTACAATAAATTTCCTTCAGGAGGTTACTGACCTCTATTTTATCTTTGATGTACCTAAGAGCATCTGCTGTTCCCATGTCTGTATCATCCAGAATGGTGACAAAGTCCAGCTTTAGTTTAGGATTACAAACACTTGGTAAAATTTGGTGAAATTGTGTAACTGCAGAATCCAGTACTATAATGATTATCTCTGGAAAAGAATGTAAGTCTTTGTTGAATTTTATTGTCTAATATAGTATTCTCTCATTGGTATTAATCAATGATCAAGATTACCCATCCATTACTCACTAATTTTATGTCACTTTTCATGTGTGGTAAAAGTAAATATTTAAATACATAATGTTGCCATGCCAACCACGTGCGGAGACAAGAGGACCTCTCTTACAAGAGCTTTAAGAATATTGCCTTGGAAAGGTAAAATCAATGCTTATTAATAGTATTCTCTGTTGTAAAATATGAAAGTAATGACCAAACACTACCTTGAAAATTTGTTAATACAAGATCTCAGTTAGTCCCACTCCTGGGCTATCTATCTGAATCTTTAGAAAAAGATGGCAGTATTTGTTTAGTAACCTGTACTTCAAAGCTTTGTGATAATCTTGGATGGACAATATGAAGCAGACGAAACAATATCAGTTTTCCTGCTTGCCCTATAAAAACTTTAAAAGTTTTTCTCTCAAATTTTTCTTAAAAAAAATTCCACTTGCCATCAGTCAAGGAAAGGATGGAATCAACTAGCCCAACCACATCATCCACTAGCCCCCGGCTATCAAACACAAGTTTCTTCGTATGTTGATGAGTCACTAACGTCGTTTTTTACCGCCAGTTTAACTTATATCTTTTAAAAAAAATTGTAAACAGTTATTATAACTAAAAAAGTAGCCCTGTATTCTATAGTAACACCGAATGCAGTTATAAAAATGATCACTGAATATTATACCAACGCTACTCACCTTCAAATCCCGCTTTGTCGAGCAAGTTGATGGGGTACCAGATTACGGGCAAGTTACCTACTGGTAATAACGCTTTAGGAATTCTTTCAGTCAAAGGAAACATACGAGAGCCTGTGCCGGCCGCCATTATCACTGCTTGAAACTCGACCATTGTTACAGGATATAAACAGCTCGCTGCTCGCCTTAAAGGATGCTTTCATGAGCGGGATCAAGAACTCAAAAAATGTTTCAGTTCATCTGCCATTTTCCCTTTGATGAGAAATTGCCTGGTGGCATAGCTAATGAACTGGAACCTGTGCTTTGCAAACAACCGGTACGGGCGGGGGAGCGCGGCGTGACTATAAACTTGGAAGGACGGTTTGAGCATAGTTTGCAGGACCCCGTTGATAACAGTACTTTGTACTGAAGGGTTATCCTGAGGAAATATTCGATTATTATTATTATTAGCAAAGTCGGCGAGCGAAGCGAGCCGGTGAGGTGTCTGGCAGGTTTCTCACCAGCTCGCTTCGCTCGTCGTCGGCTTTGCTCGTGCCGCCAACGATGAGAGCCTGCTTGCAGGCCAAAGGACCTAACGAGTAGAAATTTCCAGAGTAGGGCTAGGGTGTAGAATTTGAACATATTGGTCTGAAGTGGATTTTACGTGCCCTCTAGCTCGGAAACTGGTTCCGTAGAATTGTGGTTATAGGCCCATCTACATGTAAGCATGGAACTATTCTGGTTGTAAGTTCGCCCCGGATATAAAGACCGCCTCGACTTTTTCTGGTTTAGTCATCAACAATGCATCCAATCAGCGAGGACAAACAGTGTGACTGTTGCTCCTTGGCACACGAAATCCCGGCCGAGGATGCTGCATTTCTCGAAAATTATTTGGAGGTTAGCACCTGGATTTTGAATGAATCTTCGATTGAATACCTCGAGAAGAAGCGTCAACCTTTCAGTGCATCTGGTGTTCGATTTGGAAGCCAGGCGATTCTAATTTCTGGGTGAAAATCAGCTTGGCGCTGCACAGGTAGCCTGCGTAGCAAGCGTTTCCGTGGGGTTTGGTAGCAAAGAAAGACCGAGGAACGGGATTTTCGGTGTTTTGTCTGCGCGGAAAATGGGGCGAGAACCACAAAAAGAAGGAGCGGGGTGGYAGAGGGGAAGGAAGGAAACGCTTGTAGACAAACCCCTGGATTTTGAAAACCTCCGTTCGCCAGCGAACGGAGCTCGTGATTGGCTGGGCTAGTCCAATATTATTGACATGCGTCGATCAAAGGTATTTTAATACCTTTGAATGCCAGACAAAAGGGGAAGACGCGTTGGAAGCTTGGTTACAAAACGCTTTAACTTTTCTCGCTGAACGAGGATTTAGTCGTCAGCTTCGACAGTACG